AATTCCATGTCGTCTTTGATCTCGCATATATATTCCTATCACATTTTCATTTTATTCATGTAAACAACTTTCGGTGAAGTGTCAATTATTACTTGATGTCAGCTAACTTAGCTTGTAAATTACTAGATGTTGATGCTATAAATCTCATTTTCATTATTTACTTTTACGTAAAAGAAAAGAGATCTCATATACTAAATTAGGATTGGCTGATCATGTTAGGATCAAGAGCACACTAAAAGAGGGGATGAATTAGTGCAGCAGAAAAGTTATGCGATTTCAGAAAATATTTCGGACCTTCAAAGGAAATCAATTCGGAAAGATAACTACTTTAATTAAAAGAACATAAATATAGTGAAAATAAGATGAGGAGAAGTATTTTGCTATAAAATGATTTACAGTTAAAGAAGATTACTCAAAACGAAATGCAAATCAGATTTTAGAGTGGTTCGGTTAACGTGACCTACATCTACTTCGTCGATTTCTCCTCCGTCGAGGCCACCGGCATTCACTATTGATCTTCCTTTAATAGGCGAAGATCAACCTCTTTACAGCCTTCTTCTCCTTTTCTCATGTTTAGGAGTCAACCTTTACAGGCACTTACTCCTCTCTTACAGTATTCTAACACTTCGACTAGAGGAGGATTCTCACAAGAGATTTCTACAGCATTTTTCTACTCTTAAACTCTTTGTGCTTATATCTTTTAACCAAGGATGAGAGGGGTATTTATAGGCTTCAAGTTAATTCAAACTTGGAGCCTAAAAACATCTCATCCCAAGTTTCCCGGGCACGGGTGGTACCACCGCTAATGTTAGTCTGACATTGACACTGCACTAGGCGATACCACCACCTGACACTGGGCGGTACCACCACCTGTAGCCTCTTAGAGGCTGTGTCTGGGCGATACCATCGCCTGACATAATCTCGAAGATTGTGCTACGACGGTGCTGCATCTTGAGTCACTATTTTAGGCCTCTCATTGGGCCCAACACAATCCTTACATGGGCCCAACTGGCCCCTAATTTAGTTGGCCCAAATCCAAACTCAATTACGTATTAACTACGATTCCTAAGACATATTCTAAGCTAAACAAGTCCGTAAGTCTAGTTTCTTCCAGCGAGCTTCCGGTGATCTTCTAGCGAACTTTCGATGATCTCTCGACAATATTCCAACGGACTCCCGGCAAGCTCCTAGACTTCACTACGATCTTCTTGGTGAGTTTCGACAAGCTTCTCTAGTAAGCTCCGAGACTTCTCGGCTGGTTCCGCCAGAACTTCCGACAAACTCTCGAACTCCCAACGAAGTCGCATCCTTGACTCCGGAACTTCATTTTGCTTCATGCCTTACTATCATAGTTAATCCTGCACATGTAAAAACATACTTCGATCTAGACAATTAATACTAAGTATTAATCATGTTGTCCGGCATGTCATTGGTCCCTCGACACTTCGTCTGATTCTTCGACGCATCGTCCTCTCTAGCAGCCTATTGCCCAATCGGCTAGTTGACTCCATAACTCCGATATCTTTGGCGCAATATTCGCTCTTCTTGGCCCGAAGCCTTCTGTCAATACGTCAACCGATCCACCAGCTCGACGTCTAATCTTCTGACATGTTTTCCCCTAGCACAACATGATTCTTCCTGCTTTAATTGTCTCATCCTGATCAAAGCATCCTACGTCACTCAAAAGGCAGATTAAATCATAAATAATTATCAATTGGTTTCATCATCAAAATACGAGATTCAAGCGAAAAATATATTCATGTTATTAGCATCTACATGGGTATCCTTATGTCTATGTCATCCAAAAGATTTAATTATGTCTTGTTTATGTTAAGACAATAGCTTTAAGAACTCAACACCTAATTTTTTTTATAATTTTTAAAATATTTATAATTTTTGTAAGATCAAACTCGAACATTGGAGACAACCAAAGGTCTAATTTAGTGGATGATGTTGCATATAAAAATATAAATAAATAAAAAATAATAATTTATAGTTCTAGTTATTAAAATATAAAATTAGAAGATCGGTCCAAATAATCGTAAAAATAAATAAAAAAAGCTTTTATGACTATGAACCATCTAGAAACTCTTGAGTGAAGAGTCCATTAATGTCTTGATCAACCCGACGTAGTATAGATTCATATTCGCAAGATTATTTGAGATACCTCTAGAATAAAAATGTCGATCTCCCAATGTGTCACATGTACAAAGACAAAGGTCAAAAGAGACTTCCCGACCCGATCCCTTCGATACCTAAATTAGTAACCTAATGTATACAAGTACAAATGTGAGTAGTATAAAAAGTAAGTCTTTCCTCCTTGTGTTGAAGATAAACTTTTATATATGATCCTAAATAGGCAAAATATTTCGTAAAATATTCTGTGATGAGACAATCTCTAACCACATTCAACAACCTCTCCTTAATCTCTTGTCCATATGAGTGACAAATGAGGGACAACCCATAACCATATGTCTTAGACCCTTCTTCACATAGGCAGGCATGTGGAAGGTGTCCTCCGTCTTCTTTTTTCCACCCTAGGGCACGTGATAGTCATGTGTCAAATGATTAATTGATTATGCATGCCCTATTAGTAACTATTATAATTATTTTTAATATCTAAGATTAGGATTTTTAAATTTTCTAACAAAAAATTGATAGCAAGATTGTGCAAGAAAACTATTCTCTTCTTTCATTTTGTCTTCTCAAATATCTCCATGGTTGCTTTGGCTTCACTTTTGACTCTTTTTTTTCACTTTATTTTTGTTATCATGATTTAATAATCACAAGTGCATCAAGCTCGATAAGAGACTTGAGAACGATCAAATATATATAATTTTAAAGATAATTTTCATGACTTGAAACATGTTATGTTACATCATATATGTTAATCCCAAGTGGGTTATTTTATAAGGTGGCAACACATGTTGGCTTAGCTTCTTCTTCATCTCGACCTCATCAAAGACGGAGTTTACGATCAAACGACTGACTCTTTGAGTTTGTTTGAGTGTGTCATCTTCTTCATCGGCTCCCCCATAATTCTCTTCTAACCCATAATCTCGACATGGACAGGAAGGTTCAACTCACTCCATCCAATGAGTCGAAACGATGACATGTTAGTTGGATGCCGACCTCTTCAATGACATCTTCGAGCTCACTTATGCAATCTAAACGTTCAATGAGGCTTACTGCATCCTATGTAATTTTATGGCTTATATATATATTATATATCATCACATCTCATTTTATATATTTACAAAGACAAATATATAAGTTGAGTGGAAAAGTCACTCATCCACATGCCTCTTTCATCTCCACATGTGCTTGCATAGCATGATTCATAGGTCATCTCTCTCTTGAGTGCTCATGTAGAATGCTACCATTCTATGCAAAGTTGTCGTCAGAAAATTTTCATTTTCTATAGTATGTTTCAATTAAAATATATTTCATGAAATATGAAATCATTAAATGATAATAATCATGATATTTTTATTATGTATTATAAAGTTTTTTTTTGTGGGGGTGGGGGTAAATAGAAATGCTCACACATGACACCATTCAATTATAAACATAAGCATATGCACAAATTCTTATATTTTTCGGATTCCACTAAGACTCTTGTTAGTAAACAAATGTATCGTGGCTGATGAGTCAGCACAGTTAGGTCCACAAGTCGATGTCGGAAGTTCTCTATTGGCTGAGCTGGATGCCTAGGTAGGTTGGGCCTTCGCGACGAGGTGTTTGTCAGCGTTTGTTGGTCCAAGCACCGTTTGCGTCGAACTGCGTTTCTCCATTCCCGAGATAAGTGACAGCTCGACCTCTCTCACTGGGTGGTGATTTCCTGGTTGAGACGCTCGTGGCTCGGGGTGATTGCTTTCCTGCAAAAAAGGGCTTCATCGGGTGATTCCCGACTGTGGCCCGTCCGACGAGCAAATCAGTTGTTGGTGGAATTATTTTTTCCCCCCGGGTCGGATGCCAGCTAAAGGTCTTTATATTATTGTCCGAGGGTCGATCGTACACGGATTGACATGGTGGACATGCCAAACAGTGTCTTGGTACGGATTTTGACTTGTCGTGTCTTGGGAGGTGGTGCCGTCTCGGGATTCCCAAGACGTGTCATGCAACGACTTGGTACGGATTATGGTCTGACGTGTGACATCGGCTATGGCATGGACCCAAAATAGATCCTATCAGCTCGCTCTCTCTCTCTCTCTCTCTCTACTCTCTCTCTCTCTGTTCTTCAGACTCTATGGTATTGATTTTGTTTGAATCATACAACTAAAAGGAAAAGGTCGAACTTATTCCTTCACTTGTGACTCATGAGATGGAAGTCTCCGCATCACCCACTTGGCCAATGATTGGCGATGAGGGAGACGATACAAAGCACAACACTAAACCACCACAGGTCTTAGTCTCACTGAGTTGAGTGAAAGCTAAACATATTGCAGGCAAATTAGGAAACACATTGGATGGTGAAGATCTCTGTCAGCGTCAACTCGCTCTGCAGAGGTCCAAACACATTGGATGGGGTATCCGTAGCAGACCACTCTCATTCGAATTCGAGATTGTTGCATCGATGTCCGGTGGGAAGAGCATGTTTGATGCATTAGGAACGCACTGCTGGTCAAAATTAGCATGCTATGGATCGTGGTCAAGTCGAACCACAATGGCCATCATATCCTGAGAATAAGCAGGTCAATCTGGCTTGACTCGAGTCAATTCGATGGGTCAAGTTCGGATCATGTTAGATTAGGTCCGTTACAACTCCCGATATGTTACAGTCCGCTGTGGGTCCTGTGATGAAAAGGATGCATGCTTGCTTGATGATAATTTACATTATGGATCATTGATCTCCTTCGTCCTCATCCCGCAAACTGACGTCGTTTATGGATATGATCACATAACTATCCGAACTTGGTGGATTACATGCGTCATGCATGAGCGAGGACAAGACGGTGGGTCAAAAGGGAAAGCAGATGTGTGTGTGGCAGGCACAAATATCTTCCGACATCAGATTGGACAGGGATTTATCTTAAGAAATATCTGTGTTTGACATATCTTCGGACAATAGAATCAGCAGCCATATTACATGAACACTCTTTGTGGTCCATTAGATTCTATCCTTCTTCAACGAATCTCTGAGTTCATGCATCACTCGGTGTGAGGGCAGATCGGATTCCACGTAGATGGAACAGAATCCAGATTTAGTCGGCGAGCCACCTCAGCACCCCACTTTTGAAGGTGCTATTAAGCTGGTTCGAAGCTCATGCATCGTAGCCGTCAAAATAGGAGGGTGGTCCAACTTCAACGGATGGATTTGCGCTGGTCTGCTTTTTTTTGGGGGGCGGGGGATTCCGTTCCAACCGCGCTTTCAAAGCGGAAACGTACAATTCCTACATCGAGGGTTCGATCGCCGACGGTCGGGTCTTGATACGCACCGCCGCGACGACGGGACGCGGTCTACTCCTGCCGTCCCACCCAAGTCTCGCTAGATACTTCGGCTACGTCGCTGTCGGTGTCGGCCCCCACGGTACTCTTTTGAGGCCTACCCGGGAACGAGACACGCCATCCGAATTGGTGTGGGCCCCGCTTGGGTGCTTGGGGCTTCCGTTCCTCCTCGCGTTCTTCCTGGAACCGTATTCCGTGCTCGGCGGCGCACCATGTGGCGTCAGATCCTGCGGTTGCGGTTGCGGTCGCGCGGATCATCTTAACAGGATTGTTCTCTACGGACAACGGAATCATCCGGCTCGGGGATATTTATAACTGCCATAGTGGGAGTGGCCGACTTAACATGAGCCTACATGTTATAATACCATTCCTTTCGCAACCAATAGAAACGTGGCATCTCCATATCTGCCCCGCTAAAGACCTCGCCTTTATGCTCTTTCCTTGGCAGCCACTTCTTTGCTCTCTTTTTCTTGTCGGAGATCTCTCGGGCGGCGGAGAAGAAGGTTGTTGGACCGGAGGAGGGAGGTAGAATAGATCTACTGCAGGAGAGAGAGGGAGAGGGAGAAAGAGAGAGATGAAGATTCAGTGTAATGCATGCGAGGCGGCGGAGGCGGCAGTGCTCTGCTGCGCGGACGAGGCGGCGCTTTGCTGGGCCTGCGACGAGAGGGTGCACGCCGCCAACAAGGTTGCCGGGAAGCACCAGAGGGTCTCGCTCTTCTCCGATGGCGCCGTTGGCAGCGGCTCTTCAACCCGCGGCGTCCCCAAGTGCGACATCTGCCAGGTGCTCTGCGTTTTGCTTCTTAGACCTCCATCATCGTTTCTGAACTGGATGCTTGTTGGCTGTGCTGGTTTTGGTCGTTTCTTGGTTAATTGTTGTCGAGTTTAGATGTTTCTATACTTGTTTCACTCCTGTCGGATGTTTTATTGGTAAAATTTTCTTCTTTTGTTTGAACACATAAGGTGGCGGCTCTGTGATTGTCGTCTCTGTTATCAGTTTAGGCAACATCCTGTTTTCGTGATAGAAATGGTCAAAGTTGTGATTTTTATGATCAACTGTGTATGGCATAACACGTCGAATAGCCCAACCTTCGTATGTCGATGACACAAAAACAAAGGACCACTTGAAGAACATCCAGCTTATGCATGTTGAGCTGCGATAACTCGAGTATTGAATCTGAAGACAACAGTGGCTTTTCCTTACACCCATAATAGTCGAGCCTCGCCGTGGGATTTGCTGACAAGATTGTCATCTAGAAAGCAAGCAAGTCGTAGTATATATACCAGCAGTGCTTTCGCTAGCTTGTCATGATGCTTGCTCATTTATTTTCCTTTCTTAAAGGTTTATCTCGATTAGGCAAACTACTATTTCCTGAATCCTAATTAACGTGTTTTAGGCTGCTGTGCATATTTATCAAAATTGCGCTTTTAGGAAAATTTATCTGTAATTAACATGTTTTAATTTCGTATATTAATTTCTATTTGTCTAAACAGTAAGAACTAAGCTTATTTGGTTTTACAGGAGGCCTCTGGCTTCTTCTTTTGCTTGGAAGACCGGGCGTTGCTTTGCAGGAGTTGTGATCTTGCTATCCACACGGCAAATCCTTATGTGTCTGCTCACCAAAGATTTCTAGTAACAGGGGTGCGAGTAGGCCTTGATCCCACTGAGCCAGTCGCACCTGCTGCAAGCCAGCAGTCGCATTCCGCAGGAAGAGTTGTCGTCTCACTATCCGAACACTTGCCTACAGGTACTCATCTTGTGTCGTCAACTGAGACTAACGCAGTCTCATCCAGCCAAATAGCCAACCAAAACGGGGGTTTATTGGTAAGTAAAGCCCCACTCTATGGATTCAGTATGTCCGAGACTATATTGGATTGGCCTTTGGACGATTTCTTCGGCTTCCCAGATTTCAACCAAAACTTTGGTTTCACGGAGCATAGTGCTTCTAAGGTAGGCTGTCCATCACTCGCATTATACCTGCTTATGACAAGCTCCTGGTATGGTAAATTTGTTGATTGTTTCCATGTTATTGTTGTTTTCTTGGATGTTAATACTGTCTAGACTTTGGTATAGTTAATTTTATGAAGACAAATCTTTATACTGAATTGAGTAATCTTTGCTTGACAGGCTGACAGCGGAAGACATGGAAGCTCTCAAGGGTCGCCAACTTGTCGATCCACTGACGATGATCGGAATGCTGACGAATGCTTGGGACAGGTGCCGGAGTTCCGGACGGTACCGAAGATCCCACCCCCTCCCACAGCTTCAGGGCTCAGCTGGCAGAGAAACCGGCATTACCCTGCATCCAACAATACCGTCTTTGTGCCTGACATATGTTCTTCGTACGATCCTAATAGTTTCGACGCATCAGCTGGTTCAAAGCGTCGTCGACGGCAGTAGAAAGAGCATCGGAGATTATTCATGATTTGAACGGGCATGTCATCGAATATGATATAGATTTGTGCCTGACGTATGTTTGCTCGGCACCTCAATCGTTCATACAAGTCATAGATAATTCATGGACCTTATTATACTGTTTCCATGTATCACGTGAGGCTATAAATACTCACCCGTATCTCCTAAATCTTGGGAGCTTGTGGCAGACAGCGTAGTATCAATATATGGTGTCGTGGAAACTTGTGGAACTCTGAGCTCACCTTGAAAAGCTAAGGGCACGTTTGACCTGGAAATGAACCTCGACAAATTGATGCACCCAAAGACTGGAAACTTCCCCGTTGAGTATGGCTAACGATACATTCCATGCCCACCGAGAAATCGTCTACGTTTGACCTTTAAATCCTCAAGTGGGAACCACTAGATCTGAACACACTCGAAAACTAGTTGACCAAACACGATACACGATTCTCCCACTTGAAAGATCAGGTGGAGTTGTTCCTGAAGCTCTTGAGGAAGGAGCCGCTCTTGGTGATCTCACGGAGGGGCTTGTTGGTGAAGCGAATGAGGTTGTAAGCCCACGCCCCCACCACGGTCCCACAGATGGGACCCACGATGTAGACCCAGAACCCCTCCCACCGGTTGGCCACGATCGCCGGCCCCAGCGTCCTCGCCGGGTTCATCGATGCTCCCGAGATAGGCCTGTCAACAACATCACCCACGCTTCCATTAACGCAGCTCATGTGTAGCTTATGTAGGGATAATGGGTTGGTTGCCTTTCCTACCCGGCGATGAGCACATTCAATAAGATTGTAGCTCCGACTGCTAACCCCGCCAATTCTCCGATCTGAACAATAGAAATGGCCGGCTTAGAATCTGCTCTGAAACGAGACGGCCGACTTTGTTCACTATACTTACTGCTCTGTTGTCGGTGGCCACTCCCGAGATCACAAACATCAGGTAGAACGAGATAATGAACTCGAGAACAAGCGACTGCACGTCCGAGCCGGCCGGTATCGTCCCCGGGAAGTGCTCGTGCTTCCCCCCGAACATCAAACGCAGCGTGCCGCTCGCCAGCGTCGCGCCCAGAAGCTGAGCAAAAACGTAAGCTGGCACCTGCACCGACGCAGAAGAAATGAGACGTGAGCGAGAGGCCGCTCGAGTGGTTGCGGTGTCGTATGCTGGAATCACTGACCTGTTTCCATGGGAACCTCCCGCATGTGGCGAAGGCGATCGTGACGGCCGGGTTGAAGTGGGCACCGGATATGTGGCCGACGGAGTACACCATGACCATGACGGCGAGCCCCCACACGACGCAGATGCCCGGAAAGGTGATCATTCCCTTGCTCAGATTTACAGTGACCGAAGCACATCCCGCGAAGATCAGAAAGTATGTCCCGAATATTTCAGCAAGGATCTAAACAGAACATTTCGGAAGAAAAGTCATCATCGGTACCAGTGGGATGAGCCAAAGAATTGCTACACGTAGCTATAGATCCTTGTGCAAGTTGGCTGGTTTAAATGACGGTGGTCTCTTGTTTCCATCGAATTGCTTCTCTTCTTCAGCTTCGTGTGGGAGATCATAATAAGGTGGAAATCTAAAGCTCCCAGTTCTTAAGATAGCTATTGTTTTTGGGATCACCTTTGGCTAACCCCTTCAGAGCATAGCCAAAAGGTAAATGATACCAAAATCTGCAAATAAGATGTCTAATTTTCGCTTTCTTTGATTTGATACAAAGAGATATCTTTGCCCAAAGAACAGTCCGCAAGCATTCACATGGAGAAAAGTTCTATCTTACTGTGCCAAGAAAGAATAGTAGTGGGAGGTGATAAGAGATGGTTTGCGTTTCAAAGTGGAGAATCGTTGTACAGAATTGTAGCTAATCCATTAAAGAACACGAACAACAGTGGAATCGAGAGAGATGCGGGAGCAGACAAAGGAACTCAAACAGAGCCATGTGAAGAAGAATCCTCACCTTCTGCAAGAAAGGAATAGATAAGCTCAACCCACAACCTTTGTCGGCAGAGCTCGCATATCCATGGTCAGGGTTGACGCCCTCTTCTCTCCCATCACCAGCGGCTCCCTCCTCCATAGACCTCTCTCGCCTCCCGTTCGCGTTAGCATTCTCCCCTTCTCTTGCCATCTTCCTCGCTCTCTTCCTCTCACCACCACTAAGGATCAAACTCAGGCTGCTATTTATCGAGAGCCAGACGCCCCGAAAGGGATCGGCAGAAGGAACTCTGCCAGTCCAACTTCCCCATTGATTTATCTTTCTTTGTTTTGGAGGCTTACTTTTCTTGTATTTATGAGTTATGACCTACTGAATTGACCACTATTTTCTTCCCATCAAAAGAGGCAGTGAAGAAAGACCGAAGTTGCTCTTACGCAACACAGAGATGATGGAGAGCATCAAAAGCCACTTCCAACAACCCACCATTAAATTCCTTTTAGCAAAGGGAACAAGAGATTCCAAGATAACGGATGATAATAGGAAGGTTATAATCCAAAATTATCGAGGCATTATCCATGAGAAACCTTTGACGTGTTCTCTTGGGTTGGGTGATGGTGTGGACGCACGCTGCCTGATTCCTGCACAGGTCCGAGGATGGGGCAAAGGGATTTGTCTTATTTCTGCATGCCAAATGTTGATTTTGTATGATGGCGTGCTCTGTGGGTTTGTCCATTTCTCATGTTAAGCCAATAATTAAGGAAAGAGATTATTGGTGTTATGTTATAATTAATACGATAAATATTTTTAGTATAGTTTAATCTATGAGAAAATTTATGAAATAAACTCGTAAAAATTACCGTATTATCAAAATTATAATTAAAAATATTCTTCGAATAGATATAAATGGAGACCTTTCATTATCTCTTTAAGTTTCCTACTTTATCTAGAATGTTTAGGTTTTTCAAACCCGCTTTGAATATTTACGCTCATGGAATATATATTTTCACTACTAGATAGAGACAATCTTGAATCATTCATAAGTAAATACGTAGGATTTTGTAGTTATTGTTTCGTCTCGAGTTCTCAACTCAATGATCAATTTTAATACAAACTATATAATATGTTTAGGTTAAAAAAGAAGTTAAAATCCAAGACATGGCGTGTTATACAATGATCTTTCTTGTCCATGAGCATCGTACTAATAATTTCTACTACTTAACCTAACCTTAATGACGGAAATTACTGGACAACCAAATCTCCTCAACCATTCCTCCACACACGCACACACAGGTCCCTTAATTGATGCCTAAATTATTGGTCTCTCTCTCTCTCTC